CCACCTCCAACTACGGCAGTTACTGCCATCGATTTCCATGTAATGGGTCCAAAAAACTTTTTCGGTTTAGCCTTAGGTGGCTGAGGAGGTGCAGTTGTGCGTCTTATACTCGAGGTTGTAAATGCACGACATGCTGGAATACATCTATTTCTTATAAAAGAGTTCATTTTGAGTTTTTTCTAGACAAGTTGTTCTTATAAAGTATTAAAACTTATCAATTATCAATATGAGTTTATCTTAAATATCTCATGTTTCTACTTTTCCGGTAGTTTTGACAACTGTCAAATGTCAGTGTCATCTTTTGCAGAGTATAATTTCTAGCGTTGTCATTATAATGTTTGCTGCAAAAAGTATAATGCATGGAAATATTATTCGATTTTAAAATAATTTAATTATACTTATTGAAGTCATTCCAGGACTCAAAAATATTCATTAAATAAAGTGAAAACAATATTTTCGTGCTTCAGAGTTTAAGATCATTCTATTTCGGCCTAGGACAGGGGTGGACCACATGCGACACAATATTTTGGGCACGTATTTGATCACAATTTTCATTATGCACTACAAGAAAAAGCATGAAATAGGTATTTTATAAGAAGCGAACTCTAAGTGATCACTGCTACAGAATGTACTCAAAAATCACAAAGTCAGAAGTGTATGATGACACGTCTGTAACGAATCAAATATTTATTTACTCGCCACCTTAGGTCTAGGATCTATAGGTGCATCACTGGAAGAAAACACATTAAAACACACATACGCGAAAAAAAGCATAAGCTTGGCATAATACATAAGCACTATTGTTGAGTTTCTTCTGCACAAACATTGATGACAAAAGGATACGTCCCTTTGTTTTCTGAATCTCGGATAAACCCGTAAGAATATGAATAACACTTATGATACATTTAGCTATTATCAGCGTTATAGTTAATTCTTAGCTTGACATGTTTACATTCAGTATTATTGAAGATCAGCTTTTGTAAACATGATAATATACACATCGTCACACTTTTAAATGTAAACCGTAAAGCATACAAAATTAATATCAATATTCCGTATCATAAATCACTACAATTGGAACATACACTCAGTTTATCGTTTTCCTCTGTGCCGTTTAGTCGTGGTAATTGTTGTTAGAATTAGTTAAAATGAGGAGCATTTATCTTCTCAGTTTTATCTTATTAATATGCCTATCTACGTGTTATGGTCGAGATCTCCTCCTAGGCACCACGTATAATGCACATCTAGTATGGCAGCAAAAGGCAGAATATATGGGTTTCCCTTTTAAGAAAAGAGTGAAAGAAGTATTCTACTCTGACCCAGGCATGCAAGTTATAAAGGTAAATTTTATAACATATTTTACTTTCAGATTTATGAAGCATTTCGGGGAATAGCTTGACAACTTGACCGTAACCATTCGCAAATGATAAAATAGGGTCAAATGTGACGCTATTGTAGATAATTTGTTTTACTTATTACTCTTTTTAGTTTGTATGTACTAGTGTAGTGTGAAATATATTAATTTGAAAATAATAAAGGTATTCTTGGATTTTAAAAACCCCTGTTTCATCATATTCCATGTTTCAGGGGGTCGTGGCAAGAGACTTGGACCACACAGAGGGCACGGCCACTGTGACAGCGGGGGGCGTTGGCTCCTCTTTCGTCAATTTCAGACTAAAGAGCGAGCGCGGCAGCGGTTTGAATTATCAAATTGAAATATACGTGTGATAGATAATATAATAAAAAGTTTAAACAATGATTTGTATAACATTAAGTTATTTAATTGACTTGCAACATTTTGATAATTTTTTAAATTTAGATTTATCTTCGTCATAAATAAATGTTCAAAACTATATTACATCATCGCCTTTTTTATACTAAAATTGTTACATCAAATGTAATACATAAATTTTCAGCTACAATAAGAAGAACCCTGGCAATACCACCTACCAATTAATTTTGTTTTAAGCACTTTGATCTACAAAAACTAAAATCTCAGTTTTTCCAATTCCTAGTTACATATGCACCATGTATGACAAATAGAATACACGCCATTGCTTATACATATTTGCATTGTTATTAGATTAGGTTTGTTAGAGAACTGATAACGAAAACAATTGACTTTAGGTAAAGAACTAAAGGGTTTTACCAAACGTAGATATTTACTGAGGCAAACCACAGATGTAAAATAATTTACTAGAGAATATTAAATTTGTCCCGTTATTTCAAAAGTATAGATGAATTATAAAAGAATGTTTTAAACTATCAAAATCCACGTCATAAACATCCTATATTTTTAGTTAAATATTGTTCTACAGTGAAAAGTTGAATCAATTTGTAAATAATGCCATTTCATTTTTTGCTTACGATAGCGTAGCAAAATGTTCATATTGTGTTTATGCTTATCAAATTAATTTACAATGTATTGTTATAGAACATTCATACAAATGTACTTTTAAACGAAATAATAGAAACAGAATGGATATACGACTAACTAACTATGGATACTTGTAGGATTCCTAAACCACACCAGGTTCCTCCTACAAAATGTCCTAGTCCCATTTATTTCAATAATAAAAAAACATTTTGAAAAAAAAAATCTTTATTTATAGTTAACAATAAATACCTAAAGTGTAATAATTGAACACGATTCGTTTTTAACAACAAAGTTAATAGTTCCATTAGTTTGTATTTTATTTTTTTGGGGTCAATAAATATTTGAAACCGAATGTGGACCGGGTATTAGTCTATGGCAGATGTAG